ACAGCCTAAATTACAGCTAGAAATTTAGTGTCTCTGAAACTGAGCCACTAGGTCACATTCAATTGGTCACATTCCAGAAGCACTACACTGCCACGTATGCAGCATGTCTTATGTTCAATAACTCTTATTGTAAACAGAGTCAGCAGCTGGATAATTTTATAGTAAATTAGATGCTTCATGGCACTTGTTGCCTAGGGAATGTGCTTAAATATAAAGACTGTAAATAGATTTATTTTATTATGCATGGAAACCACGGGTATGTCAGAATTAGACGTACTAATAAATGGCTTTTTTTAAAAAAAAACCTCAATGACCCATAATCCAATAAACACATTGAAACTGTTTCACTTTTAGTAAATGTAGTGAATTTGCAAAAGGGCACAGGAACAACTTCAAAAAAGAGAAACAAAAATTGTGCTATGAAAAAAAAATGACAAAACTTCCTAGTTTTTCCTGGGATGTGCTGGCTTTAAAATCTGTTTTTGCTCATGGTTTTGCTAAACAAGAGAACAATCTTAAGAATTCAGTGACTGACACAGAAATTTACAGAAGCTAAATCTCAAAGTATAGTCCAAAGTGAGTGACTCTGGACTCCCCTCTTCCAGGTTATCCACGTGTGAATGTGCACACTTTGAGGCAATGTCTTTTTTGCTTTAAAAAAAGTGTTTAGGGGTACAGTGGTACCTCGGGTTAAGTACTTAATTCGTTCCAGAGGTGCGTTCTTAACCTGAAACTGTTCTTAACCTGAAGCACCACTTTAGCTAATGGGGCCTCCTGCTGCCGCAGCGCCACTGGAGCACAATTTCTGTTCTCATCCTGAAGCAAAGTTCTTAACCTGAAGCACTATTTCTGGGTTAGCGGAGTCTGTTACCTGAAGAGCATGTAACCTGAAGCATATGTAACCCAAGGTACCACTGTACTCTCATTTTCCTACTCATATTGAAATGCTGCCCTTTAATGAGGCCAAACTTAGATTCACAAAATGTTTAGGGGTATGCGGACCCCTAGAAAAAAGCAATGCTTTGAGGTATGTGCAAAGCACAGAACTTGGGGAAAGGGGGAGTAGTAACGTTTATGGTGGTTCATTTGTGACCCAGCAGTCCCATTTGTTTATTTATGTACTTCTTGGCCCACATTTTTACATTAAACATCTTTGAAGATGTTTACCATAGAACTCTAATACCATAGAAGTTAGTTCAAAGTCACAATCAGAAACTCAATTTCCTTTCTATGATATATATTAACACACAATTTATCATTAGCACATAGGCGCGCACACACACATGTACTACTCTTATGAATGCAGTCAATAACTTTTAAAATAATTAGGGACATAATTGTAAAACTGTCATTCTCTGAACTACACATCCCTTTTTCTGTTCCACATATTCTCTGGTCACACTAGTTTTACAGGTTTCTACAGTGTTCCAAGATATACCTGAAAAAAGGCAAAACAGCTCCTAGCAATGTGAACAGCAATGCTGCAATGCATGTGTACATTTTGGTACGACTGTCATGACCATCCACTGAATAATGCCCCTGACAATTAACAACTTTTCCAGACCCACCCAAAGCAATTTTGGAAATGTTTATGCTAAGACTTCGACCTTTTTTCCAGTGCATACTAATTCATTCCAGAAGATATTACCTACACTGATCAAACTCAAAAACTGCAAAGTGAAAACACACAGATGAACAAGACCAAGCAAAGGCAAATATAGTTTATTCTGTACTTTTTTAATGTGTGAGCAATAAGAACATGGACACAAAACAACTACTATTACCCAGAAATGCATGGTGACTAATGACCCATAGATCTAGGCCAGGCCAATGCCTGGATGGATGACCAGATGGGAACAACATGTAAGCTGCCTTGTGTTCCATGACAGAAGGGAGGTGGTATACAAGTGTAAACATAGGCGCCGACTCCATGGGGCTTGAGGGGGCTCGAGCCCCCTCAAAAAAATTTGGGGGGGGCTCAGCCCCCCCAATAATCTCGGGCGCCGGGGGCGGGGGCTCCTGCCTCGCTGCTTCGCAGCACCACCGCCACTGCCAAGGCACTGCCGGGGGGAATTTCCTTCCTCCTGGCGGTTTCAGCCCCCGCGAGAACAGGGAAATCCCGACTGGCCACACCTCCCAGCCAGCCAATCGGCTGGCTGGGGGGGCGTGGCTTGCCCTATTTAGGGCCGGAGCCACTTTATTTGCATATTCATGAGCTTATTTATTATTCATGAGCTTTCCCGGGCCCCCCCAATATTTTTTATAAGTCCGCGTCCCTGAGTGTAAATGAAATGAAATGAAAAAACTAAAATAATATAATATGGCACAGTAACTGAAGTGTGGTATTGCTGACACTAGGAAGCTAGGGAAACAGGCTATCTCCTATTGAACCTTATCTATATTGATTTATAAGAGAACTTAATTTTTCAGGATCAGAAAATGTAGCCTAATTTCTGGCAGGGAAAGCCAATGTGGTATCTTCAGGTTTGTGCCTTACCCTTCATCCATGAGCATAGGAATGCTGGCTGGGAATGGTGGAAGTTGTAGTACAAAATTATTTGGAGAGCCTGATTTATGGTATCCATCTTTAAACACATAATGCCTATATACTTGGCACCCACAACAGAAACTTCAGGCTCTTGTAAGCAAGAGTGACTATTCCACAGAGCATGAACCAGCAGATAAATGTGGGGTAGAAAACTGTGATGGAAAGAGGGTGGGACACTAGTTCTGTCCATGGTTCTCAGAAGCCCGCCTTCTGAAATGAAATACCATTCGCTCCTCCTGGGCAAAAGCCTCACCTCTTAACTGCAGTGCACTTTGCCCACAGAAATTCTTTAAGATCATCTTTTCTACAGACCCCTCTCACAGCCCACCCAACTCCTTCCATTGAGTTGACTGGAATAGCAGACTTCATATGCCTGTCAAATATCTAAAGCACCAGCACTGTGATGTCTGGCAGTCATCTCTATCCCACTTCTCACCTTCTAGCAGGAAATGAGTGTTAGTCACCTCCAGCATCCTTGTCTAAGTCCCTCCTTCCTTAGTCTAGCTGTTAATCATTATCACCACAATCAAACTGCATAAAAAGTGATATTATGCCCACATACTTTCTTCCTTGCCTTCCCACCAACTTCAGAGGTTACCCAGGGCAAAGATCACCATAAGAATAAGTTTTGCTATGTTAGGTTTTCCTAATACAGTATAGGATTAGATACAAAAATATTATTTAGTGTTTTCCTTTTGATTTCACCTACTTATGGTTCCTCCTCCAGCTTTTAATAAACACACTGCTCAATTTGATTTCTGTACTGCTTCCATAAAAACACCCAAAGGCTGTTAGTTACACACACCACCACTTGAGCTACACTACTGGGCTAAACTGCATGAGAAACTAGGAGAGGGATCAAATAGAAATGTCAAGCAGCAGACTTTAACTAGCAGTCTCCTACTCCCAGTAGACTTCATAAGTCAGTGGGAATCACTCAGCTTCTGATTTAGGTAATAAGCAGGTGATGGCAAGAAAGAGAACAGTGCAGTCCTTGCCAGTAGGTTACATTCATTTTCCCACCATCCTCTCTAGAAGGTGGCACTAGCCTCTTTAGAACTGCCTCACTTTGGTTGTCAAGCTCCAAACAAAGCTTCTTACTTACAGATCATACTATCCAGATCACCAGCAAAGCTACAAGTTTAACAAATCCACATGCAACTCTTATCTCAAACTCTTTATCCAAAACTACCCCTCACATATTGGACCATCCTAGCCTCAAAGACCTAACAAAACAAAACAAAACGTCAAAATCACATCCATATTTTTTAGCTTATCATGACCAATATTTTTTAAAAAGAGAATATGGCTATGCTATGCTAGGCAGATACTTAAAACAAGTGGAAATGAATTATTTCCATAGTTGCCATATCATATTCTAAAAAGCACATGGGCACTTGAGTTATGGTGAGCAGAAGTTAATAGTATTTTCTAAACAGCCTTTTACCATTTCCAATTTGTGGGAGATGAAGTGAACTTCTTCCTCAAATGTACAACAGAGAAGACTTTACCACTCCACCTCTAGAATTAGATGGAAACTTACTATTACTTAATGGAATGGTATTGTTTACATGAACAAGTATTGTCACAGCCCTATTGTAAAAGCCCTATTACAGCTTTTGGATTTGTCATAATGGGCCAACACAATATGTGTATGTGTGTGTTGAGGAATACCAAATTTAGCCATCCAGCAATCTTAAAACTGAAGGAGGTGTGAAGAGTGTTTCTACCATATAAAGGGGGGGGGCATAGACCCCAGCTCCACCCTATTTCGCTTCAGGTGGTCAATGAGCATACTCAGCACACCTTAAAATTAAGAGCATGCACAGTGTATAACATAGGGAGTGCAATGCCTGTCTGCTGTCTTTAGAACAGCTTTGAGTAACCATGACATTTGTGGCGTTTTCAAAAGGGAATGGGGGTAAACGGGCTTCAATGCAGGCATGTCCAAAGTCCATTTTGGGGGGCCTGCCGGTCCGTTTAATCCAGCCCCTGTGGCAGTTTATTTCCTGGGGTAAAAAACTCAACAACTTCAACCCTAATAAAAGCTCAACAACTTGGTTGGCCCTCACTTCATCAAATCTGGCCCTCTTTGAAAAAAAGTTTGGACTCCACTGCTTTAATGCAACCCATTTGCAACCTACCACATTCTAATCTAATTAAGTCTGCATAATACCTCCTGCGTCCATTTTAAGCTTTTTCATCATGTCCACTTTCCCCACCCCACTCGCTACTTCGCTTCGCATCCCGTTTGCTCTGAATAACCTTTCTCGGTATACCAAAATCAGTACGCTGTGACTTTTTAGTTGGTGCCGATAAAGCTATCACCCGCCGGCAAGAGCTTGAGTTCTTCCCACTAAATGGGCCAGGGCTCCCCGCCCACCAATCACCGCAAACACGGGGGGCGACGCTACACATAAACACAGGTCACAACAGTCCGGGCGGCCTGCAGGGGGCTTCCAGGACAGCGAATACGTCGGGACGCTCGGCCAGGAATCGGCATCCCAGAGCCTGGCGCTCATTCCCGCCCCCACGCGGATCACATTCCCGCGTCGTGGCGCGCGCGTGGGAGGGGATGGAAACGAGGGAAATTTGAACAAAAGGTGGGGACTGACGGCTTCCCGGGGGAGGGGGGCGGCTCAGCTGAACCCTCGGCAGGAAGCAGAAAGCCGCTGCTGGGATTAAAAGCCTGCGGAGGGAAAGAGGGCTTCCCTCTCCCGCCCCGCGCACACCCAAACCCCGCTAGGCAGGATGCCACACGCTGCACACACCCCACGCCTTGGAGAGGGGCAGGAACACGCGGTGCAGCGCCGTCTCCCTGCTCTGCTTTTGCATCCTCCTCCCTCCTCAGCGCCACAGTCCCTTCCCCTCGCGCTGAGGGAGGGCAGCGGATTTCCCGAGGAGGAAGGCGGCGGCGGCGGCAGCCCCAGCGGACGTGCATCTTCGCCTCAGAGCTGCTCTCCCCCCCCCCCACCCGCGCTGTCGTCGTCTTCTTCGCCGCCGCCTCTCCTCCCTACCGGGACTGCAGGCAGAGGGGGCTTGAACCCCCCCCAAAAAAAATTTCCCCTCCCATCTACTCCAACCGCGAGGCGACTCCAGCTGGAGCCCCACATCACCAGGGGCTGAGAGGAGGCGGCGGAGCGCGAAGAGCAGGAACCCGCGCCGTCGCCGTCGCCTCCCTGCCGGCCGCCCCCCGGGGAGCAACTCCGCCGGAACTGAAAGCCAAACGGCGGCCGGGAGAAGGGCGGCTCGGGGTGGGGGGGCAGAGCAAAAGCCAGGCCGAGTGTCTATGAGGAGAAAACGGGGGAAGGGGGACCCGGCTCCGTCAAGAGAGCGGCTGCTGCGCTTCGCCTACTTCCCCCTCAGGCTCACTCCGCGTCCCTTTCGCTCGCTCGCAGCCGAGGAGAGGAAGGGAAGCGGCGGCGGCTCCCCAGCGCCAACTCACTCGCTCTCGGTTACGACAGCGAAGCCCGCCAAAAACAACCCAGCGCTGCTACGTCCCGCACCAACTTTGCCGGCGGCGCCTGTAGGGCTTTCCTACCTCCTCGGCGGGCTTCCTCCTCCTCCTGCCTCTCGCTTCCCCGTCTGGCCGCTGCGCCGCCTCCTTCCTCAGCCTCATTCGAAATTGAAATTCCCTGGCCAAGGCCGTCAGCGCGGCTCCAGCCCCCCTCCCCGCGTCCCGGCCTTCGCCTGCAGCCCCGCCCCCGGTTTTGACCCTCGGCCAATCGCAGGCTCCAGAACGACGCCCAGCCCCACCTATTCCCTCTTGGGTGTTGTGTTTTTCCTCCCCTCTCGCGCTCTGCCCATCAATCGGCGGCCTCTGTTTCTCTTGCTCAGCCACCCTCCCTTCGTCCCGCTCTTTCTAGCCACGCCCACAATGGTCTTCAGGCGGCTTGTAGTTCCGAGCTGCCCCGCCTTCGCGCTCCTTCGCTCGCGGTCCCCCCCTTTTTTTTGCTGTTGCATAGACGAGGCTGGCCCAGGAAAAGAAATGAAAAGAAAAGCAACTGTGCGCGCTGATATGGGCAGGGATTGGTTTGGTGCATGTGAAATCAGTGCATTTTTAGCGGCGCTAGAAATACGTTTTAAAGCAAAGCCGCAGACGGAGATTTGGGTGGAAGTAAAGGGCTTCTTGTGTCGTTTATGTGATCCATCGTGTTACAGGTTAAGGATTTCTCGCTTGCCTGGCATTTTGAAGGAGCTCCCTTTTGTTGACCTGCAGTTTTTATTCTTTTTTGATCGCTACTGTTCACTTTTTGGTTTTATGATGGTTTGTGTTTTGCTTTTATTGTGGTTATTGCACATCTCTCTGAGGTCTGTTTGCTGGACTGTACTTTTATGTAAGCCTGCAATCTTAGACATATTTAAGGCTAATTAAATTTAGTAGAGCTGCTGAGTGAACAGCAGTGCCTAGGATTTCAGGCTGGAATCCAGTCCTAGATGAGGACAAACCATCAGCAGTGCAGGGGATGTTTAAGATTCTATTTTAATAGAGTGTTGTTTTATATAACATAGCAGCCCAAACATTCAGTGGTGCCACAGGTTAAAACAAATTCATCATGCAAGTCATCATGTATTCACGTCAATCCAAAAGATGGAGGGATAGCTTCATTGGTGACCTCCAGAATCCCAACCAGGAGGTCAGGGAATAATGAAATACAATTTAATATTAACTGTTTTTAAGCACTACATTCTATACAAAGGTGATAATATTTCAGACAGCCCCTGCCTTCCAATTCACAGTCTAAATCGGATGAGTGTTATGGGAAAGGGAAGGGAGATTAAAAACAGGATGTGATATGCTGAGTCCAAAAGAGCAGATATCAGCTAGGAAAAGCTTGAGAAAAGTTCTATCTGTGAAGCAGGAATGCAGCTTTTAACAATTCTTGGTCCTCTGGACTTGTTATCACCAGGTTGCTTTCCCTTCACTTTTGCAGTCACAGAGCACTTTATAGTTGTAGAATTCACACTGCAGACAGTGGAAGCTCCAAGAACAGTTTATCCTCTGGCTGATAATCAGGAACAGGTTGTCTTTCCCCATGTTTCTGTGTAGTTTCAAGAAAATTGACCCTCATAGAACCTTGCTTGCATTTCACTTTGTCTTTACCTACTCCATGAAATATAACCATACCTTACCTTAAAGGTAGAGGGACCCCAAACCGTTAAGTCCAGTCACGGATGACTCGGGTTGCGGCGCTCATCTCACTTTACTGGCCGAGGGAGCTGGCGTTTGTCCGCAGACACTTTTTCTGGGTCATGTGGCCAGCATGACTAAGCCGCTTCTGGCGAAACCAGAGCAGCACATGGAAACGCTGTTTACCTTCCCTCCAGAGTGGTACCTATTTATCTACTTGCACTTTGATGTGCTTTCAAACTTCTTTACCTTACTTGTCAGCAAACACCTTTGCTGAACCAAGTTAATGTTTTAGCTGTAACTATAGATTAGGGCACACTGCTTAATGCCAATTTACTTCTCAGATTATAACCTCAGCAAAACATGAAAACTGAGCTTATCTTTTTCACCTGGAGCAATATTTTGTTCTGTCATCATTTCACAAATGGGCAGGATGATCCTAGGAAAAAGACGGCTGGGCTAATAGGACGCTCATGCTGTTGGTTCCTGAAGGGGACCATCAATGGCCTAAAGGAACTGTTCCTTTTAAGGAAATGCAGAAGATTCAGAAGATAAAGTATTTATTTATGTAGCACATAGTTAAACTATGAAACCTGCTCCCACAGGAGGCAGTGATGGCCACCAACTTGGATGGCTTTAAAAAAGAGGATTGGAAAAATGAATGAAGGATAAGGTTGCTAGCCATGATGGATATGCTATGCCTTCATGGCTGGAGGCAGCACATATTATTGCCCAATGATTGCAAGGTCTCCAGTGGCCAAGGAGATCAGCAAATGATGCCTATAGGTACAAGCTCTGGAGCATCACCCAGATGCTCCAGTCTTCTGGTAGATAAAGCAGAAGAAACCTATAAGCAGCCCATTTGCCAAGGAAATGTCAGATCCAGAATGGGAAGAGAGGACTGCAGTTCTACTCGCAAGAAGTGCCAAAAGAACATAAGAAGAGCCCTGCTGGATCTACATGCATATGAGAAACCCACAAGCAGAGCCTGAGTGCAACAACCTTCCATTTCATCTTACCCGTGGCTGATGGGATATCATGGTGTACCCTCCAAAGCTACATATCATTTCTCACAGTTGGCCTTGAAACTGAATTAAGTGCTGTGCTCTGCACATTAATCCTACTTTGAGCACAACTGTGTCTTTTGAATTGAAGAAGAGTCAAGTGATTACTTCTGAATGGGCCTCCTACAGTAATACTTGGCACAGTTTGCACTTGTGGTTGTGTCAACACAGCCTATGTGTTTTGTCTCCACATTTCTGTTTTCCCCAGAGCTTGAAGAAGCTCAGGAAAAATGGGAAGAATGTTCTACAGCTCTGGCCCTGATTGTCTCCAGAAGCAGCTATTTCTCCTTCAGCGATCATGAACTTTTGAAGGTATGAAAGGAGAAAAGTCCCACCCTGATATTTTCCTCTTATAGCTGCTTTGCTGCGCTGCGCTGCTGCAGCTGCTGATGTTTTTAACAGCATCAGCCTGAGCAAGTTTAATTGGCGTAGGGTTAAAAACAACTGGAGCTGGGGGACCCTTCTTTCAATTAAATCTCCCAAGCATAGTGACAAAAGCAAGATGTTTTTCCTGGATTAGGCAAGGCCAGAAAGAAAAGGAAGCATCTTTACAATTCTCTTCCCTCTCTTTCTTCAACCAACTGTCCTCTTTAACAGCGTGCAAAGAGTACTGGGCTTCAACTGTGCCTTCTACATCCAACAGCCAATTTTTACTCCCTTTCCTTGTGTTTTTTAGGCTGTTTGGCTAGGCTGCGACTGTGACCCCTGGCTTATGTAAAGGGAAAAAAGAACCACAGCAGAAAAGTAAACAGTCTAGCTGTCAGCATTGTTGGTTTAAATGACAATGCTGTCTCCATTCTCTTCCACGGGCCTCATTTATGCTTCAAAAATGAGGAATTTATGAGCTGTAGAGGGAGTTTCTGGTGAATGCTCTTTCCTCACAACGCACACCACAAGAAAACATTTAAGCTGTAGCTCTATGAAATTGTTATCTGGACACATTTTGTTTGAATCCAGTGTGACCTTGTTCTTGAGTTTTCAGGGTGGACAAAATGGGAATAATAATTCCAAACATCCTTGAGCTATGAAATTCTATTATTTTTTGAAACTATTGGGTTTTTAATGGATTTTTTTTTTAAAATCTAGTGGTAGCGTTCAACTAAATGGAGGGTAGACCCACTGAAATTAATGAACGTCACTAACTTAGATTCATTAATTTCAATAGGTATACTAAGAGTAAAACTTTGTTGAATACAGCCCTATATTTATACCTCTAGGTTTTGTTTTAAATGTTCTTAAGCAGCTGGATTGTATGCTGTGCTTTATCCTTCGCTAACCTAGTGCCCTCCCAACGTTTTGGACTACCAACTCCCGTCAGCTCCCATCCAGCACCAACCTATTTAATGGTTCCGAACACGGTAGGGCAAGCTGTCTGCTTACACAGAGAAAGGTGTGCTTCCCTTTCACAAGATTCGATTCCTTATTTTGTTTCTTATACTAGGTCAAGCAACCTCTGCCTGGGCTTAGATAGGCATTGGCGTCAGAGAACCGATGCCCTCCATTAACCAACCATATAGGCTGGAGATATGAAGGGTGAGCAGACAAGTACTATTTTACCAGACAAATGCAAGAGCCTCAGTGTGTCTTTTCCCAGCTCCGCCAGTTCTTCTGTGGCTTTCCCCCTGTGGGGTTCACGAGGAATTGGGGTGAAGTTCCCTCCAGTTCCAGTGGGAGTTTTATTTCTTTTTCAGCCCAATAGCTGGGTGAGGGGGGTGGGATTTTCATCTGGATCATGATCCCTATCTGTGTGCTGGCAATCCACACCCACTCTTAAATAAATGCAGCTGCAGTTGCATGCTACACATTTAGCATTACACACATTTTGGCCCTCTCTCTCCTTTTGAGCATCCGCCTCTCTTACTATGCCATGGTGACCTGTACTCTTGCACCCTGGGCTTCACCAGCCAGGGGCTGACAGTCCATCAAGTATAGCTGAGCAAGGTGAATTACTTCTTGATATGGAGTCTAGCCCAGCTGTTCCCATGGCTCCCAGCTACAATTCGCCTCTATTGTCGTATACGATTCTATCTCAGTCATGCAACCCACTCTTCCGTTTTTCTCTCAGGCCTCGGAAAATTTTTGGGCAACCCTGGGTCAAATGTGACTGTCTTTATGGCACTCCTTCCCATTTCCACACAGCTAATTATTATTAATAGCTGTACTCGTATTATGACAGCAACAAATGAGCATTTGCAGCTATTAAGCATTGCTCATGGCAGTGTTGGATGCTAGTAAATTGTGCACGAGAAGTTCAAGGTGCTGTTTTGACTTGTAAAGCCTGTGTAAGTGGTTTTTAAAACGGGTCATATGATACAGTGCTTTCTCCCAGCAAAGCTTAAAAGAGCCGATTTGTGGAGAGAGGGTTTTTTCTTAAAAGAGAAACAGATGGCAGGGTGTCTTGATGTTAGAAATTCCATCCTATTCTTACCCATGTATTGAAGTCCAAGTTGTTAACCGTCATAATATTCCACAGGATTGGAGGGAGTGTATGGAAATCAAAGGCATTTTAAAAGGGAAATTTTTTTCCATTTTTGTCCTGTTTTAAGAGTTTGCTTTTTTTCTTTTACAGACACCCAGAATAGTCACCAAATCAAATTGCAATAAAATGGTGGACCACCACTTAAAGCAGTTCTGTCAACAAGGCTCATAAAACAATACCACAAAATAAAAATTAACAATTAAATCCTGTATTTTTTCGTGTATTGGACGAGGTTTTTTAACACAAAAATCATGTCAAAAAACTGGAGTCATCCAATACACGGATAGTGGCATGGGGGGAGGGGAAGATGCTGTTGCGCGCAGGGAGCGATCTGGGGGTCCTGGCTGGCGGCGCACAGCTTCCCCTGATGCCACTGCGTGCGGGAAGCACTCCCTGGATCATTTCCCGCGCACAGCGGTATGGGGGGAGAGGCTCAACAACTTTGGGCCATCTCCCCTCATTTTCTTAAAATTGAGTCCCCAAAAATAGGGGGGTGTCTTATACACAGGGGTGTCTAATAGATGGAAAAGTACAGTACGTCACACTATTTGCAGTACCACATTGCCAACCCTGTAGCTCCCTGCAACCAACATTTTGAAGAGCTTCCAGCTACCATATTAGCTTACCTACTCTTTAAAATCTTCAATAGATGCCAATTTCTCTGCCCCTCCCCACCTGCTGAACAAAGATGGTCTCCCCAAAACCTGCACATTTTGGAATCGTTTCCCAGAAGTCAATTGTTTGATGCCTGCTTTGTTAACTTTTAGGCATCACATAAAACCAGTCCTATTTTCCTGAGTTATTGTTATTGCTAGTTAATGTTTGCATGGATATTACTGCTATTACTCCTTTTATTCTTGTTGGTTCTTTATTGTTGCTTTACGGCAGCAAGGTTTTGTTATCTAATTTGATAGCTGTTAATGTTACAAGCTTTTATTGAAAGGGTTTATTCTTAAAGTTGGGGTTCAGGGGCCAAAGTTTCAATATTTTCGTACCCAGGACTCAAATTGACCCCAAACATGCATCTGGGGACCCATTTCTTAATTTCTTACCATATATTTATATGTGGTTGTCCCACTTGAAGACCCAAAGCCTTAGGGTTGCTGTTTTACAAAAACCATGCTTCCTTACCTTTTTTACAGCAAATGATTTGAAATTGTTGTGTGAAATACACCACAGTCCTGCAAGTATTTTTTCCCCTAACATAACAGCTGTATGTACTTACTATATGTACATATAACACTCAGCAAGATAGCTCAGTCGGTAGAGCATGAGACTCTTAAACTTAAGTTCATGAGTTCAAGCCCCACGTTGGGCAAAAGGATTCCTGCTTTGCAAGGAGTTGGCCTCGATGACCTTCTAACTCTATTATTCTATGACTATGATCCCTTCTAACTCTTATTATTCTAAGACTATATAATATATAATTATATACAGCGGTACCTCGGATTTTGAACGTCTCCGTTGATGAACATTTCGGAACTCAAAAGCCGAAAATGCAGAAGTAAATGCTTCCGTTTTTGCACCTCAGAACAGCTTCCACTGAGTGTTTCACAATTTTCTCAACTACATTTGCAGACCACCCTTTGTACCTTGGTTTTCGAACATTTCGGAACTCAAATGGTCTTCAGGAACAGCTTCCGTTCAAAAACCAAGGTACCACTGTATATCATTACAGAATCAAGGGTATGTGACACTTCAAGTGCTATGAGTAAATAGCTACTCGTTTTAAGCATGGTGAATGGTTTTAAGCATGGTGAATGGTTGTGCGTGACCTCATATGTACTTCATAGTAAGTCATAAGGAGATCAGTATGATTTACTATCAGGTAAGTGTGTAAAGGACTGCAGCCATTTGCTGACGGCCATTTTTCAACTAATAGTTCAGAACCCAGATCAGCCATTTTTTCCACCGTCCTACAACACACACAAACACTGGTTGTTTTGAAAAGGGTTGTTTATTTGGAAAACCTCTCATTTACTTTTCTTTTTTTAAATTTCCCCCTTCCATTTTGAGCCCCATTATTATTGGATGGAAGCAAAGTATAGGCTATTGTTGAAAATAGTCTCTGTCCCTAACTGTGGAGGGAAAACGAAGGACTCTTGGATTTATACATACACATGGGAAAAAATCCAACACTGAAGCATCATCACACCACATCATATGCTGACTTTTATTTTAGGGGAAATACTTTGCAGCGTTTGAATGTTCATTTCCCCCTGCATGTACACAGATCAGGAAGGCTAAGAGTAGTACCATTAACATCATGATTCTATATATGTCTACTCAGATATGAACCCATTTGAGTTCAATGGGACTTACTCTCAGGTAAGCGAAGAAAGGATACACACACACACATAACACTTAAAGAGGTTTCCTGATTCTGTAACTGCACATATTATTCTGAGCAGCTTGTATGACAGAAAGTACAGCACAGGCTTAGAAGCTGCTTGTCCTTCGGTGCCTGCATTAACACCATTATCTGCTTCCCAATCGATGTTGCGCACATTAGCTTGGCTTAGGGGTCTGTTTACACTGCTACATATTTAAATAACTTCACTAAATCAGCCTGGAATGACTGGGTCAGTTGCTGTGAAGAACGATGGCTGATATTTTATATGTAAGGCAGCTCGCCTTGCTTTAAGAAGAGAAGAGAAGAAGAGAAGTGCAAAACTGGGAGCATATGTCAAACCAGGGGGCTCACAGCTGCTTTTTCTTCAGAGTTAAAGAGGCCAGTTTAAGCATGCATTTTTGAAAGCAGGAATTACATAACACGTAGCTTGGCCCTAAGAACGGGTGAGTGAGCCAAGCGATGATGGCTTCAACATAACATTCAGCAAGAGAGGGAAGTTTAGCTTGCAGTTCACAAAAGGGCTGCCTTGCAGTTCCAGCTGTGGCAAGCCAGAGAGAGAGAGAGGATACATGCCACCCTAAAGGCCATGTAACCACTGTTAAGTTGTGGGTGAACATATCAGACAACACAGCGATTCTCCAAACAGCTCTTGTTTCTTCACAGGTCAGAACAGAACTGAACTGAAGGGTTCAGCCAGCCTGCTTATATAGAGCTCCAGTACAATGTAACTGTAACAACTTTCTGTAACTATCCAATCACTGAACGTCACTTATTTGCATATGTGGACCTGAACTATCTACAGTATCCCCCTGCTAGCCCAGGGTGAGAACTTCAGTACATAACAACCACTATGAACCGACATGCTGGCTACTTAGGCCAAGGCATTCACAATCATCCTATCCGGTGCTTTGGATTTGCAGATTTTCTAGGAGTTGTTTCTTGGCAGCTGCTCTGGGCATTCGCAGCAGCATTACTGGACTCTAGATATGTCTCAGGTTTTGAGGGACAGGGCGGAGAATAATATTGTACCAAGCCTAACAGGTTTGCTGGCTGCATCCTCTTAGAGGGGGACAGGAAAGGGCAAACATCATTTGATGAAATCCATTATTCTTGCTCTATTTTGGATTGTAGTCTTGTTTTGCACAAAGCTTTTGCACGCTCTTCCGTCTAGTTTGGTGCCTGAGGAAAATTCTAGCATTCACCATAAAATGCTTCCCTGAATACAGTTCCATTGACTCCAGTGTGATTTTTATTCCAGTTTTCAGGTTTGGCGCTTTGCTATGCAAGTTAGTAAGATGTCATAATAAATAGCATTATGAAGTCTCAGAGCAAATAGGTGAGACTAGGGTGTAAAAAGCCTCCTCGGCTGGTTGTATTTTTAATGCTGTTTGTCTGACATCCTTTACACATTGCAAGCGATGTTGCAGCCCTGCTGAGGCAGTGTCATGCCTGACCTCACCTGCACTAGCCAGGATCTTGCATCCTAATCCCCAAAACGTCACTTAATCCGCACAAGGGATTCCCTGCATTACTATGGATTAGCCTGCAAAGTTTTACTATACATGTGTTACGAATCTGTCAGGCTTGATAACTGGGGACTGTTGACAAAAGGATGTTTAATGTTTCTGGCTGTAAACTTTATGATGATAGCTGCCTTTAGCACAAGAAACGGAAACATAATGGGGGCATTGTGGACCCCAGTAAACATTTCCTTGGGCGGAAATTTGGTTTGAGCCATGCTCAGGATCCAACTGATCTTTGTATGATGTCATTAATTTGGTTTGGTTGTCAGTTGTTTTGGATTGCCTTGAGCAAGATAAAGTGACTAACAAATTTAATAAATTATAATAATTAATTTTCCTGAATGTATTCTGATCAAACCTGCAAACATGAAAACTAGTTATCTGCATAAAATAAGAGGAGAGACTACAGTGGTACCTTGGTTTTCAAACTTAATCTGTCCTGAAGTCCGTTCCAAAACCGAAGTGTTCCAAAACCAAGGCACGCTTTCCCATAGAAAGTAATGCAAAACGGATTAATCCGTTCCAGACTTTTAAAAACAACTCCTAAAACAGCAATTTAACATGAATTTTATTATCTAACAAGGCCATTGATCCATAAAATGAAAGCAATAACCAATGTACACAATCAGTCAGTAGCTGAAATGGGTTCCACACAGTCACAAAAACAAAAGAAGCAAAAATGCAAAACAAATAGCAAAAACAGACAGACCTCAGTGCAACACTCAAAACGGAAGTGTGTCACTCAAAACGGAGCATGTTTGGCTTCCAAAAAGGGTTTGCAAACCGGAACACTTACTTCTGGGTTTGGGTTGGGTTTGGGTTTCAAGTTGTTTGAGTACCAAGGCGTTTGAGAACCAATTACCACTGTATATTAAGTAAAATGAGCACGTAAGTTTGGCTCTCTTGTTTTTCCCCTTTCTCTCTAATGAACTAGTTGGAATCATGTCCTAATTGCCTGCATTCATTGATTCTTTTATTGCTCTGTTCAAGAAAGCACAGCTGTCTTTGTCCGGTATCTTTATTATGTATGCTCATGCCACTGGCAAAGCTTGGCCCGTTTGCCTTTGATGTCTCTAATGCAACCCCTTAAAATATTTAATACGCAACTATCACCAGTCTTGTTAATTTAACTTTGCCACTAACCTCATACTTTGAAGTGAGCAGCACGGAAGAGCACAAAGGATGTTCCCATTGATCTGTACCAAGTCACTTTGATCCTATGTCTGCTCATATTTAACCTGTGTGTCCCATTCTTTCACTGGGTGCTCTCTTGATTTCCGTATTTCAGAAGAAGCAGTTGC